GGAAATCAAGGTCTTTATCAATAACTTTTTTAATTTGATCCTCACCCTGCTCAGCAGATTTAATCTGTCTCTGCACATGTGCAGGTTCTGCAAAGAAACTTTTTGTCTTGAATTATTTGAAATCATCAGCTGATATATGTCACATTTTTAGCCAAAAAGAACCTTATTAAACACATTTCTATGACCCTTTTTATTCCCATTTAATCTTATCACAGTATTACAGATCTGAATGAACTAGAATTGTAAAAGATGTCACTTACTGATACGAGAAAGTAGATATTTGGTTCATTTAATTGTTTAGGTTTGTGCTGTAGCAGACCTACTATATATTCTAGGGCAAGGTTTGTATCCTCAAACATTGGAAACCAATTGAACATTGTTCAACATTCTGATTAATATTGATTTTTACACCAGACATAAATCAATCAGTTTCAATCAATGTTGGATACGGCAGTTATTTTTCCTGTGTATGGGTGTGTGGCCAAATGTTCAAAACATTTGCTTTTTCACCATGAAACCTGGGTTTGAATCTTGTCATGGTTGATATTTCAGGAAGGTATTTTTTTGAAGTTATTAGTCCCTCTGGGGACACAATCCCACTATGCACCACTATTGAAAATACCTGAAAACTACGATTACTTGACCCAAGCCTTGTGAAGGAAATTGGGTAAACAAAATTGTACGTCAATGCTTGTACTAGCACACAGTCAGAAGTCATCATGACTGAGGGCTTGATCGTGCTGGCCTTGTTCAAATTGTTGATAATGCTCTTTCCCAAAAACTGTAACTAAGGTTCGCTCAGCATAGTTGCAGTATAAACCACAGGTGGGCTCCGTGGGTGTTGAACAAACACCAATGTTCATGAATAAGCATCTGCAACAGATTGGCTAGCTGCCCTAGCAGATGGGTGTGCTTAGAAAACAAGTGTTGCTGGTCATTATATATACGTGTGTGTGTATATATATATATATATATATATATATATATATATATATATATATATATATAGTGTATTGGGGCAGCAGATCATTATTTAAACATGTATTATTAAATATAACAGACAATGAATGTCTATTATGTTTGATCATGAGCTGTTCGAATGTTTGCTTTATTTTCTGATGAAAATAAAGACAAATATTGTTCAGGATTTGGATATTTTTTTATTAAGTTGGTCTTAAGCTTTTGGCTCATATGAGCCATCCTCAGAGGGGTTATATAGACATGAAACAAATATATCCACCGTCAAAACTGATATTTTGTTATTTTGACATAGAAAATTGCTATGCAACAATAACGGTCATGGAATAGCAGCTGCAGATCAGAAGTTCAAGATGCAGTTCTATGATGCCATGCGATAGATCAAGTAATAAGTAATGTGTTGTGACTAGTTAGAAATGAGTGCAGGTGGCTTCGTTTTAATGTAGATGGTCTCCAATATCTGAAGGTTCTTTTTACTCTGTGTATGGGTGAATATTATCGTGTTATCAACTAATATTATGTGCATATGTGATCCGAAAGCTTAGGACTAACCTAATAAAAAAAATATCCCAATGTTGGACAATTTTTGTCTTTATTTTCACCAGAAATTCAGAAATTAAAGCAAACATTCGAACAGTCTCATGATCAGATATAATAGACATTCATTGTCTGTTATTATTTTAATAATGTATGATTAAATATAATTTTATATATATATATATATATATATATATATATATTAAAGGTGTGCTATATTTATGGGATAAAGTGCTCAATATCAGAAAGAGTGTATGTAAATATAAAAGCAAACATTGAAATCAACACTCAGAGGCAACAGGGTGTTTCATGCTGGACGCAATTGCCTGATGATTGGCGTCCCCACATGAAACAGCCTGTCACCTTTCTGATGTGTGTGTGTGTGTATATATATATATATATATATATATATATATATATGCACACACACATTTTTCCCCCCTCACATTTTCACGTTGTTAGTCAGCACCTGACAATTGTGTTGTGCATGAAACTCAGTTGTGCTACTGATGAAGAAAACATATATTTATTATTAATATAAATTATAACTCTGTTAATATACATTGAGTGCTATTTTATTAGCTCCAGTACTAATATCTGATATTCTATCTTCATTTATTTATTGGTGTGTATATATATATATGTGTGTGTGTGTGTGTATGCACATATGTGTTTCTTTAAACATATACAATTTCAAAGTGAATTTTTTTTTTTTAAATGAGATATTTTTCTATTTTCAATAGTTTGTTGACTTCGTAAGCCATTTTTATTTTTTTAAAGAATTCTCAAGCCTTCAAAATAGTAAATCATGTCTTCAAATTTCAGTTTTGCCCTAGGGGAGTTTCTCTACTTCACAAGCAACAAAGCTTTACAAACAAAACTAAATGTTTTGTCTAGAAGTCCAGTGATTTGTCTACTGGAAAGAAAAAGGGATATTGAGTTAATGTGGGAAAAATATTCAAGATTGGTGCTGAAGTGTAAGAAT